GAATCGTATTGAATCTCATTAAGGAGGAAATTCTTCCAATATCTGTTTTTCTATTTATAAGATTTGAACTCAATACTTTATTTAAGAGAAATCGAATTTCTTTTACTCAAATCAACAAGTTATTGGTGTTAAGTTAAACACATGGGTAATTGATTAGTGGGAGAGGAGAATGCGACCATTGACTTCATGGCTGCTCTGGGATTTGATTAGACAAAGTTGAGGTCAAATACAATGGCTTAGCTAGCTCACTACATAAAACTAAACGAGCATACAAGTCAATGTTGATTAGTTTGAGTTAGGCATGAAAACTACCTCCAAATTCGAGCTCCAGTAATTTGAGTTGATTTTGAACTTGACTGATATGAGATGAGCTTCGAATTAATACCGCTAATGAAAACATAAATATTTATACCAATAAATATTTATGAACTTGATTAGCTCCAATAATCTCAGCTTATTATCAGCAAATATCGTGTTAAGCTACATAAATATTTTCATTTATTTTACTCGCTTCGTCTTAAAATTATTATTATTTTTTTACTCAAATTTAATTGTCTTATTTTATTTTATTTTCTAAGGTATATAAATTTTTTTTTTCTTATTTTAAACCTATTGTTCTTACTTAACTTTAATTATTCAATATATCATTAAAATTTTTTATTTCTTTATTTTTTTTCTTAAAAGTAATATAAATAAATATATAAATTGTCTTTAAATTCTTAAAAAATAATAATAATAGTTACTTTGTGAGAGAAAGAGTAACAATTAACTAATAGTTGTTTTTTTTCTTTTTCTTTTTGGGCACAATAAACCATTGGATCTGTAATTAAAAGATTAGGATGCAATGGGCTAGGTAAAAAAGGTTAATTTTTTTTTATATAAGGTAAAAAAGGTTAATGATAATATTGAAATTCATAATAAAGATTCAAACTTCAAATGAAAATTTACCAAATTTTTTATTATTATTATTATTAGAATAAAAATCCATTTACACACTCTTAAATAAAAAATTAATTATTTTTAATAAATATACATAAATCTCAATCATTAAAAATATAAAAAAATAATTAAAATTTTATATATATCATATACAATTTATGTGTAAATAACCCCTTCTTTTATTATTATTATTTTACCTAATTTGTTTCACATATACAGCAAGAGAATAGATTGGGGATGCAAATAAAATAAGTGAAAGTATTAGAGAAGTATTTTCACTACCTAATTTTGTTTTCTATATAGCGCAATAAAAAAATAATTTCTTCCGCCATCCCCGGCTGCTGAAGACAAAGTCGAAGTCCGGCCAACTGTGAAGAGTCGAGTTCAGGAATCTAAGTCTTCTTATTTCATTCCATCGCTGGAATTTCCTTTGACACAATTCTACTGATTCTACAATGGTAAATTATGCAAAGAGCATGATTTGGTCGTGTGGGTTTAGTTTATAAAGTGTAGCTAAGAGGTTTGTTGATATTCCTGATTGAAATTTTGTCTTCTCAAAGAGGGAACTGGATTTGAATCTAGCTGAAGATTTATACTCCTGGAAGATACATTTGTATACTTCTTTGAGTTGTTTGGGTATAGGATTTTACAGTTCGTCACAATCGCCTGAATTCTAATTCAATCTCTGGCTTTATCATCGTGTCTTATTATATATACAGCAGCCTGCGATTATATTACACATACATAATACATTCCTATTGATGGAAATAAAGAATCGGTTCCAGCACTTGATCACGAGATACATTACTTTTGATCATGTTGCACACTCTACTTTTACCAAAGTTGTAAAATCGGGCAATGGTTTGCTTTTGTGTTGGGCACAATGGAATATGGCGCCTGCTGCTCACAAATATTATGTTCTTCATCCTACCGCCAACCAATTCTCCATTGTTCCTCTACCTCCTGTCTATGATGGAAGTTATGTTAAAAGTTGGCAGAAATTTTATTTAGAATATGAACCTTCCCAGTCAACTCTCTAACCAGCTGGTTGTTTGTCTTGATATTCATCTAATTCTGGAGTTTGGGAGATGTCTTGTAATCATGACCTTGATCAACCTACTAACAGCATTTTAGCTGGGGTCTTCTGCAATGGAGTCATTCACTTGATTGGTTTTTCTTCTATGGCATTTTTTCCATTTTGATGTTGATAAAAAATGCCCACAAATATTAATGCTATCACCTCCACTGTCTGGGCGGTTGAGCATCAATTTCAGACTTCTATCATTTTAAATTTGAAGAGTCCCTAGGGAGTTTGTATTTTGTTTATTTTGACAGCCGTAGTTTCTCTGAATAAAGAGGCATTTTCTGAAAATTAGTTCTTGTAGAGCTGAATTGCCTCCCAAGCTGAGTGCACGTAGCTCATTTTTTGTCATGATGATTATTGTTTCTTCATATCTAGTGCATGTTGCCTACCATATACCAATATTTAACTTCTTGATTATTATCTTAATTAGATGAGCTGAATTCTACAGACAACAGGACATCTTTTCTTGGGCTTCAGTAGATCACCCAAGATTTTTCCTTTCTGAAATGAATCTTCCAAGATCACCCAAGTTTTTGCTTCATATGGAGAAATTATCTCATTACAAGCTACGATGCTACATATCAGTTATAGCAAGTACTGTCCTATGTCTCCTGCTATTTATCCTTATATATGTTCATATTGTGTTTGCAAAAGTAGCTCTGAAACACTTAACGGGGGAAGATCTTCAGGAGGCGTTAGCAAAGCCTGAGATGGGAAAGGACCATCTTGGACGATGAAGCCTGTTGACAGACCCCATGAAGCATGCTCTTCATGACGACAATATATGTACCATACTGCAGGATTATCTGCCTTTATTAAGATTGCAGCCCAGGCCCCTTTTGGCACTGCCACTGTATTACTTTCTGGAGGATCGATCAGGTTGCATCTTGCAGGATCTGTGACAACATCAAAGTTTCCAAACCCCCTCCCGACAATGAAGAAGTTATGACCATGGACATGATCGAACGGTTCTCCGGGTTGAGGAAACTTGTGTCCTGAAGAACAATTTCTATACTTGCACCATATGGCACCATGAAAAGCTTTGTACCATACTTGCACCATATGGCACCATGAAAAGCTTTGTACCAAGCTCAGTGCTCATGTCTTCTGTTAATGGATCCACGCCAGTATAATTGAAAGCTTTTGGTGGCCGTTCAGGTAAATTTGAGGCAAAAACACCAGCTGTGAGATTATAGTAATAGGATTGAAGAATTGACAACTTGGGATGAACAAGGATTGGTCGTTCGTGGAAGCTAAAAATCTTCCCCATTTACCCCTTTACAGGTCTTGTTTGCAGGACAGTTCTGAATGTTTAGGCTTATGGTTATCATAATTCTTTTGTCAATTTTCTGTAATTTGGTGTGTGTGTTTCATTGGTGTAAATTGGTGTGTGTGTGTTTAATTGTCTAGATTGATTTTTTTTTTTTTTTTGATAGTGGTACAAAGACAACCTTCTTGTTCAATGAGTGAATACACTTAATATTATAGAGTCTAAATGAATAAAAAAAGTTAATAATTTAAATGGCACATAGAATTATACAAAAAAATTATCTCTGAATAAATTTCCATTTTTTTCATCAAATGTTAAGTTGCTAAAAGAATCTATGCCTCAAATTATTCTTCAATTGTTACGATCTTGTAATATTTGAGTAATTTCCTTTCTTTGTAAAATTAGATATCCTGGATACAAGTCTAGCCATTAGAACAGGGTGAGAGAAGACTGAGAGAGACAGAACCAAAATTAATAAGTACATGTGAGGGTTTCACTTTTAGTCCACCTCTGCATAGAATATGATTGAGTTTGGTTTTGCACAAGAATCTTCATTAAGCTTCAAAAACCATAAGACCAAAATATTACCTGTTCTCTGGTTGAATTCTTCAAAGAAGAAGCTTCCTCTAGAAAATTAGTTCTTGTGGCTGAATTTCCTCACAAGATGAGTACACAAAGCTCCTTTTTTTTTTTTGGGTCATGATGATTATTGTTTCTGCACCTCGTGCATGCATTTTGACTACCATTTACCAATATTTAGTTCCTTAATTAATATCTTTAAAATATTAGAAGAGATGAATTCAGCAGAACAAATCTTTTCTTTGGCTTCAGTAGATCACCTAAGTTTTTGCTTCATATCAATAAATTCTCTTATTACATACTACATATCATAGCAAGTACTATCCTAGGTCTATAGCTATTTAGCCTAATGCTCATATGGCGTTTGCAAAAATTGCTCTGAAGCATCTTTTTTCAGATGAATCAAAATGTATTAATATGGAAGTACAAGGAATTGCTCTGAAGTACCTTAACAGAGGGGAAGATCTTCAGGGGGAGGAAGCAAAGTCTGAGATGGGATAGGACCATTTTGGACGATGAAGCCCGTCGCCAGACCCCATGAAGTGTGCTCTTCAAGATGACAATGTATATACCACACCCCGGGATTATCTGCCTTTATTCGGATTGCAGCCCAGCCCCCTTTTGGCACTGCCACTGTATTCCTTTCTGGAGGATCAATCAGGTTGTATCTTGCAGGATCCCTGGCAATGTCAAAGTTTCCAAACCCACTCCCAACAATGAAGAAGTTATGACCATGGACATGGATCGGATGGTTCTCTGGATTGAGGAAATTTGTGTCCTGCAGAACAATTTCTATTCTTGCACCATATGGCACCGTGAAAAGCTTTGTAGCAGTCTCAGTGCTCATGTCTTCTGTCAATGGATCCACACCAGTATAATTGAAAGATTTTGGTGGCTGTTCTGGAAAATTGGAGGCAAAAACGCCAGCTGTGAGGTTATAGTAATAGGATTGAAGAATTGACATCTTGGGATGAACAAAGGATTGGTTGTTCATGGAAGCTAAAAATCTCCCCCCGTTTAACCCTTTACAGGTCTTGTTTGCAGGACAGTCCTGAAGGTTTAGGCTTATGGTTGTCATAATTCTTTTGTCAATTTTCTTGGGCACTTGACATGGGTACTGAGGTGATGCAAGACTCTTCAAGCTCTTTGAAAACTTTATTGCTGCGTCGTTATCTTCCAATTGAGGAAGGTTGTCAAGTTGAAGAGTCTCAAGCCTAGTTGGGAGCTCCATTTTTCCGTTCCTTGTTCCTTTGTATCTTAAGAAGCCAACGGCAATTGATTTATCAGAGGGGAAGAGAGTGGTGAGGTAAGGCCGACTTGCCATCGCAAACATGCCAGAAGAGTTGGGATCTTGGTTTGCAGTGATAAGAACAGTGGTTGTTTGTCCAGGAGCTATCATAATGGCTGTTGTTTCGAAAGGTTTTGTATAAACTGCATCAACCTCCACCACTGTCAATGAATGGTTTGCTACAGCAAAGAAAAGCTCATTGTTGAGTGCTGCATTGATGATTCTGAGCATGTAGGTCTTGCCATGTTCAACTGGTTGGATGAAGGTATCTGCAAATTGATCGAAATAAAGATGCTAAGCACCTCTCCTTTAGTTTGTTTTGGTCTGTTTGTTTGTTGTGTGTGTGTGTGTGTTTTTTTTTTTTTTTTTTTTTTTTTTTTTTTTGGGTTGCATAGAAGTTTAGGGGGAGGGGAGATTACCCCATTCCAAGGCTATGGCATTTCTTTAGCGCTGGGACAATTTGTTAGTCTGTATTATGTTTAGCAAATCGTCTTTTTACCTTTTATTGAGCAGGGATAAAGAGGTCCTGGAAGACCATTGATGGTGTAAGCATTTGAAGCATTAGGCCCTCCTCCATACATCATCATTTCGTTTTCCACTGCATCCACTTCTGCATTCCACCATTCACCTGTTCTCAAAAAATTGTCATGTTTCAGTGACTCAATTGTTTACAACGTGAGTTCTTTTGATGGGTTAATATTATGGCAGGGTGTTTCTTATCTCAAGAATTTATATCCCGAGACTTCTTATATAGAAATTCCACAAGAATACTGTCAAGAATAAAGAGTTACCTAAGATTATGGGGACCTCAGCTTGAATGGGGACTGAGAATGGATATGGCAAGCGAGGGTATATAATGAAGGCACCATAGATGGAGGCTCGCTGCCATAAGTGGTGGGCGTGCCATAGAAGGGTGCCCTTTTGGTTAATTACAGTGAATTTGTATGTGTAGGACTGTCCTGTTCTTATGGGGCATTGAGTAATGAAAGCTGGACCATCAGCCCATCCAGTCCTTATCTGTCTTATTCCGTGCCTGTTTCCAATTAAGTATATTAGAAAACAGTTTAATAGATAGTAGATAAGTAAAATTAAATCCCTTGTCCCTTCTACGTAGGAGGCAGAGGAAGTGGAGAATTTTGGCAGAGGCAAATTCTTCCCTGTTCCCACAGGGCCGAACAAAATTGTTAGTCACTGTATCTATACTCACCAATGGATTGTAGTGTTTTGAGAAATTCGGTTAGTGACCTTAACTTCAACATTGTCCCCTTCCTGAACGGCAATGGTTGGCCCTGGATACTCTCCATTGACTGTTAAAAGTGCCTTCCTATGGCACAAACGACTAACCTCCTTCTGCTCAATCTGATAAAAAAAAAGAAAAAAGAAAAAAGCAATACATTATTAAATGAAAGTATGGAACAAACTCTTAGTTGTTAGTCATTGAGATCAGCTTACATTAAACTGAAAGCGTCTGGTTGTTTGTGAAGAACAAGATGGTAGCAGACTGGCACTCATGAGCAGCATTACCACCAGAAACTTGGAGGAATGCAGTTGTTGGACGTAGGAGCCCCCCATTTCCTAACAACTCAAGTACTTGCTATAATGGACTTACCATGGCACACCTTTTATATATAGAATCAACCAGGCAAGCATGAAACTCTCACCTTCAAAAACAAATATTTTCTTTTCTGGCAATTTTCATGACCCTGACAGGGGAGTAGGTAGAAGATGTACACCTTTTATATATAGAATCAAAATAAAATAGCTGTAGACTCATCTCTGAAGCAGACTAATTTGTTCCAAAGCATGGCTGCCGAGCTATTTTGTTAAGTAGGCAAAGCAAGGGAACTTTCCGACTGAAATAATTTATCATGTGCCATCACCTTCAATCCATTTCGCTGAAAATTGTTTACCCCTTCAAACTTTGTCGAAGCTTGTCGTTTCCTCTCAAGCTTTGTAGAAATCAAGGATCAAAATGCATTGAAAGTTCTACGATTTCAGTGGAAATGATTAAAGTGAAAATTAGACTTTTTTTTTTTAAGATAAGATTATTCTTGTAAGACATAAATAATCACTTGAGTCACAAAAACCTTTCAAAAATTAAACTCATTTGATTTAATTATTAACAAAGAATTACATATATATAATTGTTTTGTTATTTAGACGAAAAATAATATTTGGACTATAGATAACTACACAAAATTCAATTATTAGATATTAAATGTTAGCTATTTGTTATTTCCTAACAGCTAAATTATATAGTACAAATGAAGGATAAAATTCATGAAATGATGAACAAAGTGTAATGATCTCAACTTCTACACTTTTGATTCATATGACATTTGTCAAAAGACGATGTGAAACAACATGAATAGTGGTCGTTCTCTTCCAAGTACAGAGATATAGTGAAGACCACTAACTCTCCACCTAATACTAGACAGTCACCAAAAGGATTCACCTAACACATTAACTTCTAAAATGTCTAAAGAAAATCCCATTACATCAACAAATTTATAGGTTCCTACGTGGACTTTGGTGCTTATAAGGGATCCATATTCATTATTCAAGTTTTCGTCTTGTTTGATAGTCTAATTTATTGCTTTGTTAACGTATTCGAAAATGATTTACCTAAATTACAATACAACACGCATGCATATGGTAGGCAGGAGAAGACCATATAATAAGATTCAATTATAATCACAGCATCGGTGTGGTTATGATCACGTATAAAATCGTTATAATTATATATATTTCTTAATATTATCTTTAAAAATAATAATTTTATTTAATTTAATTATTAAAAATAAATAATAATTATATTTATTAATTAATAACTAATAACATATAAGACAACATTTTAAACACCATCACCTATTATTTAAAAAAAATTAAATTTACGTGACTTTAACAATTTATGTGTAATAATATCCATACCTTCGTGACATAGTAGAAAAAAAAAAATTGAGTATTCGGTGGCAGCTGGTGCTTGGGTGAAGACTTGCAATGCAGTCAAGTATGAGGCTAAAGGAAATGGAAGAGCTGATATGTCTCAGAGTCATGAACAACTATGACGAGTTCATTTAATTCGGAAGTACGGTTTACTAATAGGTACAAGACCACCAAAGGATCTGCAAACTGCAATGAGTTGTCTTGATAGATTGTTTTTTTTTTTTTTATTGATTGTTGGTTTTTATTGATGGGTTGAATTATTTGTTGTATAAAAGAAAAAATATCACTTTAAAATTATGTACTTAATGGTATGCATGATTAAAGACTTTGAAGTCAATAACAAGGTTAGATTCATGTTAAATAATTGTTATTTGATAGGTTATATTGTAAGTTATGTTTAAGTTCTCGACAAACACTTAAGAAAAATTATTTTTATAACATCAAATTAATACAAAAATATGTATTTCAAAATTGATAAAATGATCCATTGTGATATTTTAACTATCCAAATAAATAAATAAAAAGAAGATGAAATGAATGGAACGGTGGGTAAGAATCATTGGAAGGTCTCTCAATTCTCACCTCCAGTTCGCATATTCGCATGTGAAAGTAGTACTTCTTGAGATAATATTTTCACCATTAAAGGCATTTTGAGGTTTTTTAAATTACTAATTTCGGTGCCATGGTCAACTTTGAAAAGAACCAGAATTTTCTGGTTAAGACTGGTGAGTGATGATGGCTGGCTAATAGGTCCAGCTAGCTTTTTCAATTGCAAAGTGGGTTGGTGATGAGATTCGGTGAATATTTGGGGAGGGGAGACAGCTTTAAAATTGGAATTCCTAGAACTTTTCTGACTCATCCTTTGTGGAACAAGCAAGAGTTAGTAACATAGGGTCTTGAGTGGCGGGCGGAAGCTGAACCTTGGATTTTTATTTGACGTGGGAGTGGATGCCTTTTGCTAGGGATGTGGAGATGTTGGGAAGTCTACTTGCTTTATTATGGTCTTTATCATTTAGTGAAAAGGTAAAAATAAATGATAAATTTGGTAATACATAAATGTATTATACGGTTTTAATTAAATTAAATTATATAATTTAAATTATTAAATAAGATTATTTCTGGTTGAATTGTTATAATTTTACACTTTGACACTGTTTTAATTGTAAAACTAAAAATTTGTCAATTGAAAAATTAGTCCTAATAACTTAAGCAGGTCCTGAAATGAATTAATTTACAGGAGGCATGTTGCAACGTGTTTAATATTTTTATTTGTAGAGTATTATTATATATATAATTATTTAGGGGGTGAAGTCGGGTTGAGTAGTCTACTTTACTCTTATTTTCCACATAGGAATCTACTTGTGCCTTCTGCTTTGATTATGATGGTGTGGAGGATGAAGACCATTTTGTATTTATAGCTTTTTTAGTCCAAAAGATCATTTACTTTTTAATAGCAAGAAATTAGTGTAGTACATGATTGGGACGAAGATGTTGAATTCAAAAAAATCCGCAGCCATGGTGTCTGCAACTGGACTATTATTTTTGCTTGGCTGCTGTACCGAATTGTTTGTTCAGTGGTGGCTTGTTTTGTTGCACGTTACAGAATCTTTTCTCATGATGAATCGATGTTTGTGGTTGGTTTCATTTTATCTCTTTGTTTTGGCTGTTTAGATCTTTATATTGTAAGTTGTTTCCCCTTGTATTTTTAATAAGATCGATTTTTGCAACTGGAGCCATTATTTTTTTTCCAAAAAAAAAGTTTTTGGTTGCACAAGATGAATATAAGATGAGCACCTAAATGGTGCATGTAAGGCAGACCCTCCTAATCTGATCAATGGTTCGTAGTTATTGATCATATTCTATACTTGAGTGTAGTTTAAACAAATATTAAACGATTTTTACTGATTCAGTGATATTTATCCTATGTTACTAAAATCACCTTTATAAATTATAGTTTTAAGTTTTATATATTTTGTTTTCTTAATTTCCATTTACCTTTCTCTCAAAAAATGTAATCTGTTAAAAGAAAAACCAAAAATACTGAAATGTTGTTTTAACTCCACTTGATTGTACCGATTACCCACCCCTATGTATCTAAATGAAAACTATATTTTTTTTAATTTAGGTTGTAAAAGTACTTATTTACACTTAATGAATTTTTTAGCCGTGTTAATTCTTTAAAAATATTTTAACATTTTTATAGTTAGAATTGCTTTGAACTTCTCTTTTCTACCACCATGATTGTAAAATACAAAGGTAAAGTTAGAAATCGACGCTTGAGCTGCAGCTCTTGCAAGCTTACAGTTGTTTCCAACTTAGCATTTTTTTTTTTTTGGTATGGAGATCACCTTCCCAACTGGAGTCATTATCTACCCAATAAAGGTCATCTTCCCAATAGTTTACTGGATCACTAATCCAAATTCATGTCAAATAACAAACCCTTCTTCACGAATTTTAACAAATTTATATTTTTAAAACTTAAAATTAAGATTTTTGATTAAATTAAAGAAATTTCCTACTAATTCATCCACTCGCCCGTAGTTTCTAACTTAGCGTTAGTTTGTCTAAATTCGAACTCATTTCGGATGGTAATTGTAGTTGTTCCACCACTCACAGTGACTTGTACTCCCCTAATTTTTTATTATTATTTTTTTACCAGAGGGGTTTTTTAATCCCTTGAAATGTTTTAATGTTACGCTTAGGACTAACAGATTACCCCTTAATACATTACAATGAAAACTATATTTTTCAATTTAGGTTATAAAAGGATTCATATATACTTAGTGCATATTTAGATAAAAGTTAGAAAAGGAAACAGTGGAAGGAAGGAAAGGATTTTAAGGGGAGGAACGGATTGGTTTTAAACTTACATGGATAAACAAAAGTAGAGAAGAGATAAAAGAGATAATATTTTTTATTTAATAAAATAATTTAATATAAAATAATATTTTATAATATTACTAATTACATAAATAATTAAAATAAAATTTTTAATTATATTTTTTAAAAGTGAAAAAATTAAAATAAAATAAATCCAATCCATCCTTTGAAAAAAATTTTAAAAAGAAGAATTTAGAAAAGAATCCATCTCTCTCCCCTTCATTAATGAAATTTATAAAGCATGGAAAACAAAGACATCCCTCCCACTCCTCCTCTTTCCTTTCAAATCCCTCAATTTAAAGTCAAACTCACCCTTAATGGGAATGGCAAGGCGGAGACGACTCCATCCTCATCCTCGTCAACTATGAAGCGAGGATCTTTGCAGGAATTTTTTGACAAGAGACAAAATCTTCTCCCATCCCCATTACCTTGGGATCCCCATTTCGCCACCGACTTACTAATTTACAATGTGGCTTTATTTTTTGAGTATTTAATGCCAAATTAATATGTTGACTAATTGGGTTGGGTTTAGCTTGAATAATAAATTGTAAGTTTTGTCATTAAAATGAATAATGAGTTTAATTATTGTTAATTGGGTTCAGCCCACTTTAACATATTTTAACCCAATCACACACTAAAATGGAATCTTTTTCTTTTTGTTGTGTCCTAAATGAGTTTAAGTTTGAAACTTGATTCAAGAACTGGGTTATCTTTAGCTAATTGCAGATCTTGTATATCTTGGTGTTAATACAAATGGTTCTAATTGTCTTGTTCAAAAATGAAAAATAAAAAAGCTAGCAACAAGGACATCATCAAAAGCAGCAATCTACCCTAAAAATTCCAGTAATAATATGGAGCAGTTTACCATAATTCATACATATTAGCTAACAAATAAATTATATATTCATAAATACAAATAAATTAGCCAACTATATATTTAGAAGTATGAGCAATAGAAATTTATGAATACAAAAACAAAGAAGCTTATTTTTAAAATATATTAGAATTAATTTAAACGATAAAAAATTATACAAATTATATTAAAATATAAATTTGAATCTTTCTATTATAATTTAAGTAAAAGATTTATCTATTTTATATTCTTAAGGTATATGATAAAAAATAATTATTAATTAATAATTATTACTTTTTACCTTAAAAATGATAAAATTAAATTTTATTTTAATTGTCTAAAATCACAGGATAAAAAAATCCTTTTAAGTAGAAATGATTCTCAAAATAAAAGTGATGGGCATCTACCAACTTCGAAGGTATAAGCTTTTTTCGGTGCTTGTGCACAGAACGGTTTCTACATGCTACTTACTCAGAGACTAATTGGGCCTACCAAAGGAGGAGATACCATGTTATTTTAAAGAGGATTTATTTATTTAGTGTTTGTAAGGTACATGATAAAAAAAAAATTAATTAATAATAATTTTTTTTTAAGTGCTGAAATTGGTTTTTATTTTATTCATAGATATTATGTGTTTGATTTCTTATTGGTTTATTTTAAATTATAAAACATAATTATTTTTTAAGAAAAAATATTACAATTATTATCTAATTATTATTTTTTAAGGCATAGAACAGATAAATTTTTTTTAAAATACTTATTTTAAGGACTTTATTGATACCAAACTAAAATTAAGGGACCAACCTATTTTTGTACAAAATTTGTCCTAGTTTGTAATTTGATTTCCCCTAAATTGACTGTTCAACGTTAAATCCGCAAAGAAAGGAAAGTGAGAAGCTCAGATTTTTTTTTTTTTTTCTTCAGAAAGCAATGCGCGGGAGTAACCGTTTGAGACAGTTACGAGCACTGTCGCAGCACATCCAAGAACCCCACAGCAAACTCCAACCAAACATTACCAGAAGCACAAACCCATATCCCTCAAAGAAATCACTAACCCTCAGGCACGGGACCAAGAACAAGCCACCTCCTGTGGGAGATTCAGACATAAAGAAATGGAACATGGCCATCACTACCCATATGCGCAATGGGCAACTGGAGTCCGCTCTGCATGTTTTCAACACAATGCCTCGGCGAAGTTCAGTCTCCTACAACGCCATGATATCTGGGTACCTGACTAATGATAAGTTTGATCTAGCAAAAGACCTGTTTGATAAAATGCCTGAGAGAGACTTGGTTTCATGGAATGTGATGATTAGTGGGTGTATAAGGAATAATAATCTAGCAGCTGCAAGTGAGTTGTTTGAACAAATGCCCGAAAGGGATGTGGTGTCATGGAATACTATGTTATCAGGTTATGCACAAAATGGTTGTGTAAATGAGGCAAGGAAGATTTTTGACAGAATGCCTGATAAGAATGCTATTTCGTGGAATGCATTGCTTGCAACGTATGTGCACAATGGGAGGATAGAGGAGGCTCGTAGATTGTTTGAGTCAAAGACAGATTGGGAGGCAGTTTCTTGGAATTGTTTGATGGGTGGATTTGTAAAGAGGAAGATGTTGGTTGATGCCAGGCAGATTTTTGACAGAATGCGTGTGAGAGATGAAGTTTCTTGGAATACTATCATTACAGGTTATGCGCAAAATGGAGAGATTGAGGAGGCAAGGAGATTATTTGATGATTCCCCAATTCATGATGTGTTTACATGGACAGCAATGGTGTCGGGGTATGTGCAGAATGGGATGGTAAATGAAGCAAGAAGATTTTTTGAAGAAATGCCTGAAAAGAATTCAGTTTCGTGGAATGCAATGATTGCAGGATATGTGCAATACAAGAAAATGGATATGGCAAGAGAAATGTTTGAGACAATGCCTTGTCGGAATGTTACTTCTTGGAATACAATGATCACTGGGTATGCTCAGGCAGGTGAGATTGCTCAAGCTAGGAATATGTTTGATAGGATGCCAAGGCGTGATCCAATCTCTTGGGCTGCCATGATTGCAGGTTATGGTCAAAGTGGCTATAGTGAAGAGGCTTTGCGTCTTTTTGTGGAGATGAAAAGATGTGGGGAAAGATTGAATAGGTCCTCATTTACTTGTGCCTTAAGCACATGTGCCCAAATTGCTGCTTTAGAGTTGGGGAAACAGTTGCATGGGAGGCTAGTTAAGGCAGGATTTGAAACTGGCTGCTTTGTGGGAAATGCACTTCTTTTAATGTATTGCAAGTGTGGAAGCATAGATGAGGCATGCACTGCCTTTGAAGAAATAGCAGAGAAGGATGTTGTGTCCTGGAACACAATGATTGCTGGTTATGCAAGACATGGATTTGGCAAAGTGGCTCTAATGATCTTTGAGTCAATGAAGAATGCGGGTTTCAAACCAGATGATGCCACTATGGTAAATTTTCTTTATTCCACATACATTATTAATAAATATTTTTAGCATAAGGATTTTTAATTTAAAGCCATTTACTTCAAGTTCACAAGATAGAACGGTGCTTTAGAAATGAAAATGGTGTAAAAGGATTGATGTCAGACAGGGAGAAAAACCAGAGAATACAGCATGGAGATATTTAATTCTTCACAACTCAATTCTTAACACATTAAGGCCAGAAAAAAAGGAAAAAATCTTAACATATTTTAACATAACCTAAAGAACATAATAGTTAATGGATATCAATCATCAACATTAAACTAATCCTAACAAAAGCCATGACTAATTCTAATTTAATTCTCATGGAAATATGAAACCAGTAAAATAACAACCTGAATAAACCAAATATAATAAAATTTTCCTAGATACATGTCTCTAATTTTTGCACTTCTTTATCCAGTTCCAAACAATACACTTTTCCTATCAGCTATGGTGTATACACACAGAGACTTTGGTTTCAGAACAATTTATTTCTAGCTTTATACTGACACAGCTGTTAATCATATGTAAGCTAGAATGATTCTTAAATATGTGGCACACACTGTTTCTGATTATCATATTTGAGGTCAACTAGATTTTTTCATGTTAATAATGTTGGAAAAACATGCCAAGTTTAACCATCTCTTGTTATGTGGAACTCTTCTCTTCAAAATAGGTTCTTAGTTTTTACTTTTATTTGCTTTTCAGGTTGGTGTATTATCTGCTTGCAGTCATGCTGGCTTGGTAGAGAGGGGCAGAGAATATTTCTATTCAATGAATCAAGATTATGGTATAACAGCAAATTCAAGACATTATACTTGCATGGTTGATCTTCTTGGTCGAGCAGGGCGCCTGGATGAAGCCCAGAATTTAATGAGGAACATGCCTTTTGAACCAGATGCTGCAACATGGGGTGCTTTACTCGGTGCAAGCAGAAAACATGGCAACATGGCATTAGCTGAAAAGGCTGCTGAGGTAATGTTTGAAATGGAGCCTGACAATGCTGGAATGTATGTTCTTCTCTCAAATTTATATGCAGCTTCAGGTAGATGGGCTGATGTTGGTAAGATGAGATTGAAAATGAGGGAAAATGGAGTGAAGAAAGTACCAGGCTGTAGTTGGCTTGAGGTACAGAACAAGATTCATACATTTTCAGTAGGGGACTCATGCCACCCCAAGAGGGATAGAATATATTCCTATTTAGAGGAGTTGAATTTGAAAATGAAACAGGAGGGGTATGTTTCCTCCACAAAATTGGTGTTGCATGATGTAGATGAGGAGGAGAAAGAGCATATGCTTAAGTATCATAGTGAAAAGTTAGCTGTGGCATTTGGCATCTTGTCCATACCTGTTGGGAGACCAATACGCGTGATAAAAAACTTGCGTGTTTGTGAAGATTGTCATAATGCCATCAAATACATATCAAAAATTGCAGACAGGTTGATCATCTTACGAGACTCTAACCGCTTTCACCACTTCAGCGGGGGTTCATGTTCATGTGGAGATTACTGGTGATTGCTAAAGAGACTGTTTAAAGCAAAAAGACTGGGGATTCTTTTCAGTGATATAATGTCTTGACGGCTTAGATCCTTATGATGGATACTTTTTTGCCAAACAAATCAGCCAGGTTATTAAAAAAGTGTTGAGGTAGAAACATCTAGGCTAAATGACTCCCGGATGAGCAAGATATTTTTTTGTTTGCTCATTTCTGGTCATTGAAAATAGCAATGGTCCTCATGATCCATTCAAGAGTTGATTCATGGTTCTTCCATCTTATCAAAGGGTGACGAAGCTTTCTTCATAATTTGAGAATGTCAAGCTATTGCAACACTGTGCCTTATTTGAACTCAGTACCCAACTTCTACATATGAAAATGCCTGTTTGGTCTACTCTGGATATCAGAGATGAAATTACACCATTTGGAAGCTTGCTATGAAATAGAAGGTTTCTAGTTGAATTTATTTGTATAGATTGGTAACCGGTGAGAAAAAGTACGGACTAATTCTTTGCAAGTGCTGCATGGTTATGACTTGCTGAGCCTGTCATCATTACCATACAGAAAAGAATAAAAACAATTTTCAGGAAACTTGGTTAATCCATACCTTTTTAGCATCTAATCATTGAATTAGCATTCTCACTTACATTGTCCATGCAGGAGTAAGATGGGAAACACTTGAAAGTGGCAGTACAGTGGAGAAGATGTAATGCAAAGAGAGTAGAAATAATCAGGTCGGTGAATTCTGGAGAAATCCTGATGCTAGGAGGAACTTAGAAATCCTTGGGAATAAATGTATTTTCAGTTGCATCCCATCTGGTATTATGCGGTTCATGCCATTTGGTGAGAAATACATTTACATTCCCTTTTTTCATCCAATCTCTATTTTACTCTCATTATTTTTATTAAGTTAAACCTCCAATTTGGTCCCTTAACTATTGTACAAACCCCTGATTTGGTTCTTGAACTAAAAAAATTCCCTGATTTAGTCATTACTATTTACTAATTTAGCACCAAATTGGTCCTTTCGTTAAAAAATAGCTGACATGTTTGTTACTTAATGGTAAAAAACCATTACTTAATAGTCACATGTCACATTAATAATGAGATATGTTATCTATTTTTGTATGAAAGGATCAACTTGGGATCATATTGGTAAATAGTAAGGACCAAATGAGAGATTTTTTTAGTTTAGGAACCAAATCAGAGATTTATATAATAGTTGAGGGACTAAATTAGGGATTTAACCTATTTTTTAATCCATTTCCATTCAGTGCTTTCTTTATAATTTTATGGTAAAAACCTTGTGCTTATTAGGGTTTGTTTGAGGGCTAAAGAATGGGTTATTTGCACATCAAAATAGTAACTGGCAATTTCTACTGCACCTGTGGGGCTCCATGGGATCTTCGTCACTGGAATAGAGATTTGATTAAAAAGACCATTCACAAGGTGGGAATGAATATAGGTCATTCTTTTCCAACAAAATTTTGCGAGAAACCTGAAATACAATTTTATGGCTCTAATTTAATGATTTAATTTGATTAAACAAATTATTTCTCCTCCCATCCATTTTACTCAAACCAAGCTCTAATTTAAACAGAGAGAATGAAAGAAAGAAAAGGGAGAAAATTTCCTTTCCTAAGGGCTTGTTTGGTTAGATATTAACTTTATTAAGAAAACTTTTTATTGGAAAAATGGTTAAAAAAGTATTATTTGAAAAGTTAATAAGTTTTGTGATAAAATTCTATTAAAATTTTGTTGGATTGTTAATTTTTATATATTTAGTAAAAGATTGGTATAAAAAAATTTGATAGAAAAGTTATCAAGTAGATCTTACATAAAAAAAAAAGTTGGGAAAAACTTTTTCTTTTTTGAAAAATACAGAGAGAAAAGTTATGAATTGTAAATTGTGTTAGGAAAAATAAAGAATAAAAGTATCACTTTTACTTCTCTTTTGTTATAATATTATGATGTAAAAATAGATAAATAACCTTACAAAAAAGAAAATTTAAAAGTGTTTAGAAAAAAGAGAGTCCTAACAAAATAGCCCAAAAATAATGTTTATATCGAAGGGAGAGAAGTTAAAAAAAAATGATTTTCTTAACTATTCAAATTAAAAAATTAGCCAATATCTTTATAAAAAAAGCCAATATCATAATATAATTAGTT